TGCCGATTCGGGAATCGGCGCCTGCTTCTCACCACCATCGTGGCATCCAGTCCACAGCCGTTTCTCCATCCCGTTGAGATGAGCTCATCCTTCAACTGTCGCTTCTGGAGGACACGGGGAGTACGCAATCCTTTCGCTCAGAGGAGCTCAGTCCCCTGATGCCTCCATCGTACATATACACACAATTCGCGGCCATCATCCCTGCTGCGTGTCATCTTCTTCGCCGCCTACGCTTTATCCCGCCCGGGCCCACCACACCATGTTTCATCTACATTTCGCCGGCCCATCGGTCAATGCGTTCTTTGCGGCGCCTTCTTTTATCAACTTTGACCAAACCACTTTGGGCTCCGACTCCGGGTCTCCAAGCCTCTCGGGCGAAGGAGCTCGCGGCTCCGCACCTGACGATGAGCACTTGGAGATATATGTCCGAGTCGCCGTGGGAGAAGGGACAACTCTAGTCTCTATTTCCGTAACCTCCAGCGAAGCCTGGTCCGGGTCTGATTGGCACCAGAAGTTCTCTCCAAATCCCTTGAGGGCACGCTACACCACCATGTCCCTCTCATCCTTGCCACAAGCTTCGCGCAACTTCGGCTCCGACATCTCTCATATCTCGCAGCAAGTGAAATCTGTGCTTCTGCCGGACAGAAAAGCCTCTTAATTTTCCTCAGGTTACGCGATAGACACCTCCTTACACTTGTACCGTCTGCACTCAATACATGATGTAGCCACATACCCGAAATTGTACGGGGCCCGAGACACCGAATAGCATGAAACTCAGAGTGGCGGGGCGTTCCTTTGTTCCAGTCGTGGCGCATGCCGCGGGTGGACCTACATAGGTGGGCAGAGATGGCGATTCCCGCCAGCTAGAGTTCGAGGCTTGCGGCCCGCTTGCCGCTTCAGTGCTTCAGGCAACGTCTATAGAAATTATGCTCGAGGGTGGCTGGACTCCGACTGAAAACTGTCGGAGTCACTAGAGGTATGGGTGGCGGAGTCCTGGTGTAGACTTGACTCGGGGGAATTGCTGGGAACATAACGGGAGGGAGTGTGCTACGGCCCGGATCAACCGTTGCCGAATCGGCGCTTGACGTCCTTACGTCTTTCTCCTCCCACCGTCATCCCGCCCGACGGACGGACCCGTCGACTCTCAGTGTTTCAACTTTCGCCGCTTGGTTCTGTGCGCAGCTTCAAGTCAGTCGTCTGGATCGATTCAAGATTCGATTGGTGGACCAATGGTGGACTTCCGTGACCGACAAGCTTCAAGTTTGGAAATTCGAGCCTTCCGAGCCCCAGTGGGTTGGTGAGAGTTAAGAAAAAGATCACTGCATTCAAGGAATGGTGCTAACTAGGATGGCCTGGAATGACGGAGTCCGAACGGGATGTCGTGGGGCACGGGCGGAGTAGCGGGACCGAACAACGCGGCACACAGCGGCGAGTATACGTATAAACGGGATCCTCGGCATGGTTGAGCTTGACACGGAATCCTTGGAGATACTCAGCATACGTTGCCGTCGGAGGGAAGGGACAGCTTATGGTTGCTTCAAGTTCCAAATCCCTTGACCCTATGCCAGCATGTCCCCCACCCTCATCCTTGCCACAAGCTTCGCGCATCTTCAGCTCCGATATCTCTCATACCTCGCAGCAGGTGATCATGAATAATGTGCCGTCACTTGAAAGCAAAAACCTCACCGACTTTCCTCAGGTTACGCAATATACATCTCCTTGTACCGCCTCGTGCTGTATCCGCGCTTCTTCTCCCCACTGCGCAAGATTCCCGGTCCACCTCTCGGCAATCCCCTCCTCGGGCAATTCCTCCCCTGGCTCTGGGGTGAGCCTTGCATCCCGCAGCGTGAATGGGCCAAGCAACATGGACCGACGGTGCGAGCGATGACCCTATTTGGTGTTGAGCGGATGATCTACCTCTCCCCGGAGGCATTGAATCACATCTTGGTCAAGGGGTGGCATGAGCATCCACGGGTATGTGGTCTTCAAGCGATTATCCGTGTAATGATTGACTGATTCGCAGCCGCCGTACATGCGCGCCATGCTTGGGTTGGTGGCCGGCCACGGGCTGTTTACTACAACTGGCGAGGACCACAAGCGGTTGCGGAAAGCCATGACCCCTGCGTTTTCAGTACAGAATATGATGGCTGGTACGTGGTGTTCATCTTTTCGTGTTTTCGTGGCTCAACTCAAGAATTGTCAGAAACGGAGATGTATTACGGACCCATCGAGGGGTATGTACACCTTCTCCCTGCGCTCGTTGCGTTTGATGACACATTTTAGATTGGTCGAGGTATTGCACGAACAGTTGAACGGGGAACCCGCCGGTCGAGTCCTGCCTCTATACGAATGGAGTGAGTGAAATTCCACCATTGTTCGTATCTCATCGCTCGCGACTTTGCAGTGAGTAAAGTCACGCTTGATATCATCTGCGACACGGCCTTCGGATACAAGCCCGACTGTCTGCACCACCCGCACAACGAACTCGCTGTCGCCTTCGAAGACCTCTCTGGCCTGCAATCTGGGTCGGACATCATCCTGCTTGCGTGCCTGACGTCCATACCCGGCGCAGCCAAGCTCCTAGCCACCGACTGGGTCATCCGGCACCGCAAGTGGCTGGGTCGCCTACCCATACCCTTGTTTGATAAACTAGAACGCCTGGTCGACTCGACGTACCGTATCCGAAACATCTCGAGGCAGATGTTGCGCGAGAAGATGGCTGCGCCGGATGATACGAGCACAAAGAAAGATATCATGAGTTTACTCGTCCGCGCGGCGCTGGTTTCCGAATCTGACGCGGCGGCGATCGACGATAGGGCGATGGTGGACCAGGTGCTGACGTTCTTGACTGCTGGACACGAAACCACTGCGACCAGCTTATCTTGGGTGGGTGTGTTCTCTTCGCTGGCCTCGTGGATGACCAAACTCTTGCAGACATTATGGCTCCTGGCGAATGATCAGGAAAGTCAGCGCCGATTGCGTGAGGAGGTGACCCCAGTTTTCAAGGACAATTCTCGCCCCGACTACCGCACGCTGAAAAGTCTCGAGTTCCTCGACTGCGTCTTGTTCGTGAATTTCTGCACATATCCTCCCACTGATGATTCGCTAGAAATGAATCTCTGCGTCTATTCCCGCCCGTCGCACAAACATCGCGCGTGGCGACCAAGACGGACTACATCGAGGGCGTATTAGTGCCCAAAGGCACGCTGTTGAATATTCCGGTAAGCAGCAACCACTAGTACGATCGCCCTGACCGCAAATGTGTCAATACTCCAGGTTCGCGCAATCAGCACGCAGAAATCGTTTTGGGGGGAAGACGCAGAGGAGTTCAGACCCGCGCGATGGCTCAATCTGCCCGACACGCACGACGCCACATACTCGAACTTTGCATTCCTCGTCGGGGCGCATTCGTGTATCGGCAAGATGATGGCCTTGAACGAGATGAGGGCTGTCATTGGGTGAGTTTGCTCGCTACATCTTTCCCTGTTACTTAGAGTGTTTCAGCGCGGTCATCGCCAACTTTGAGTTTACGCCGGCGTATGAGGGACAGGTCGCGCATCCTGCGATGGCGGTTACGATGAGTGCGTCTACTTGCTAATATTCATTCCGGTTTTGACGTACGCGTTCCAGAGCCGCAGGATAATATGCCGCTGCTTGTCAAACGTGTGCAGTCTTAGCTGTCGTATTTTGAATATGTATGTATGTACCATGGCATGGGTATTGAAAAAATACACAACCGTAGGTGATCTGCGTCGAGGTTCGATTCCTGCCGTTCACATTCGAAGAACGCCGGACCGTGTTTTCTTTCCTTTCCCCCATGAATCATATATTCGTCCGCCGCTTCGAAACCCCTAGAAGCGGAGCGGTCTGTGAGCCCCGTCTGTGCTCATTCGGAGTTGTTCTCAGCAGTAAGTAAGTAGCCGTGCTCATCTTTGGCTTCGACCTTCCCGTTGATGCATCCGACACACCCGAGGATGAGCAACGGCATGGCATATACTGGTTTGATGAAGATTACGATAGCCCGTGATCTGTGAGCTACAAAGTTCAACACGCTCGAATCGTTTCACCATCACTCTGATTTAATTTTCAGCCCAAACACGCCCTGTAACAAATGGGGTCATGCATGTCTGACGCAGCAACAAAACACTATGCATGCAGCTCCTACCCAACAATGGTTCCAGCCTCTCGGCGGAGTAATATACCCGCCGCTGGCAAAGTCGCTGGCGGCCACCGGTGGCCCCCGATGGACATTGGCGGCCGTTGGCAGACGATGATTGTCATCGGTTGCCGACGGATCGCTGACACATTTTGGTGATTGCCGCTGGCTTGCATCAGATTATATTCTCCCAACCTGCACAGCTCAGCGACTGGATTACAGTGGACTTTTCACGAATATTTGACAGCTTGTTCGAGATGTGACTATGAGAGAAGCCTGCATACATGTTATTTGTAAACATCGATGGGGATCCCATCGGTAAGTCTCAGACCTTAGGTTGAAAACCAGGCTCCAAGCTAAGGCTTAGCCTCAGGCCTTAATTAAGGCCTAAGACCTTAGGACAAACCTCAGGCCTTAGGCCTTAGGGCCAACACTGACACAACGGCTCTGCGCAATTTGAACATGAAATGACTCTGGAAATTCAACAGTGGCATCACACTCAACGGAAGAATTTGATGCATTGGAATCCGGTGGATCCCACCGAGTCCCGCCGGAAGCCAGCGATAACCGATGCACAGCGGCAATGGGTTTGCTGGCCGGCACTGGCTTCCGCCATCATCCACTGCCGATCAGCCGTTTGACAGCTCCGCGTGTATTACTGGTTGCCGGGCCCATGGCCAATTTTGTTTGGTTGAATTCCGGATCCATGCTAATTCTTTGAAGTAGTTGGTCTGAGTTGAGTAGGACTATACCTGACGTCCTGGCATTCTTGGGATTCTTGAACTCAACCAGGGTGATTGCAACGAACAGGCCCACAGGTGCCAACCTCGGCCAAGGCCCGACGGGTTGGATGGCCGAGTGGTCTAAGGCGCCAGATTCAGGACCAGCATCTCTTAGATGCACGTACATACTTTCTGGTCTTCACAGGCGTGGGTTCGAATCCCACTCCAATCAAGTAATTTTGCTTCCGGATCACTTCATCCACACAGGCTTCACACCCGTTTCCTCTTTCCGTACTTTACACAGGTTGCCTCTTTGGTCGATCATTCATCTCAGCCTGTCCATTGGATCACAGTAGGAATTCCAGTCTTGGTCGACTCGAGGGAGAAGTTCACCGTACGCCATAAGAAGTTCATTAACACCCCGAGATGCCCCACATTCGATTTCGCATACTTGCGTTCATATCGTTCGGAGGATCCATGTCTGCTTTAAGTACCGAGAACAAACTTCATCTGCACCATGATTCAACATTCACACACTGGGAATTGAACCCAGTGCGCGTAAAGGGTAGCACTGCCGAACCTCCCCTGCGAGAGTCTGCAAGCCAAGCGAGGTACCCGTGGTGTAAGGGAAATAGGTGGGACACCGGGGGAGTGCATGAGGAATTTACAGCCTCGAACAGTGACCCCGCCCAAAAACTTGAGGGTAGACTGCCAGTGGAAATGTTCATTTGAGATTCACAATCCGCCGGATTGTCCGCAAGATTCCGACTTGACTGATTCTACGCTCGACGTCATCGTAGGGCTTGGACACTGAATCGAAGTACATTTCAATGGTCTGCTCGATGGGCAAAAAATAGTTGACATTGGCCAAGACATGAATCGCACACTGGGAATTGAACCTGTACGTGCGATAAAGGCGCCCATACAGATGCTAAATGCGTAACGAAACGGTTAGCATATTTGTCAATTTGCCGCATACGGATCAATTTGATGGCTCCGGTGCCATCATATTCATGTTCCTCGGCATCGAAAACAGGGGTGGGTGAAGCTTCATAATTTCTGGGTCATTGTGCGGAGAGCCAGAGTGTTCACAATTTTGATGCCAAATTCCATTTTGATTGCGTACCGAAAACAATGATGCCTACGGGTGAAGAACGGTTCGACATCACCGGATGGGACTCTCAGGGGCCAGATAGACCAAGAATGCTACCTCTCAGGGCAAAAGACCCCATCCAATCCCGATCACTGTGCACCAATATCAACTCTCTTTTATCGATTCAGACCAAGTCTCAATCAGAGCCTGAAACGAAGATGATTTTCTGGTACACCCACCTGGGCACCTATGGTCCTGAAATTTTATGGGTGGGAAGGGGTCACCCATAGCAATATGTGCATTTATTTTTGCCATCAAAGATTGATCGCCGGTTGATGATTTCGTTACACGTACATTTTCGTTACGCATTTAGCATCTGTAAGTAGACCCTTGCCGGAAATATGTACTTATAACAGGTGGGACGCTGGGAAATAAACTCGGAGTCGAGCCCGTCTGATCTGGCTAGATCAGGGTTCCCTGCAAGTTCCCTGCACATTTGTACTGTTGCCGCCGCCTGGGAGTTACAGGCGGGGATAATGTCTGCCTGGTGGCTAGACAAAAGAAGCAATTTCCCGACATTAATCGAGGCCGCAACAGGCTCTGACGTGGTTAGAAAGCCGGTTCAGACCGTGCGGGGATTCAGATACATATCTCTGTGTCTATTATTAGCAATGTTCCGAAAATAAGAGAAGCAACAATATATTGTTTCTTATGCGTGCAGCATCCCCATCGAGCACCGGCTCCAAACCCGCAGAAACCCGAACTCATTCAAGTATTCACACGTCGCTGTGGCCAAAAATACGGGCGGCGGTGGAGTTCATGGTTGAAAATTCGGAATGTTGGCAAGGCTGGAGATGAATTGCATTACATCAATCGCCGTGCGTCCCGTGTTCAGCAGCGTCCCGAGTTCAGTAGCGTCCCGAGTCCAGCAGCGTCCCGAGTTCATCAGCGTCCCGAGCTCCAGGGCTCGATTAGACATACTTTCCAAATACTGAGTCAGCCTCACTCACTGATATAAAGCAGCAGCGACGGAACAATCTTTCTCTCAAGCTACCAACGAAACCTCCGAGCCCAGTACAAACCAACATGTATTTCAACCGCATCCTCAGTTCCATCATCGCTCTGGCGGTGACTCTCACTGCTGCTACCCCCGTGGTGAGTACTGCACTCTTTGTATCGTCGGTGCTGATTTGCAGGCTGAACCGAAGGGCAGCCTCGACGTGCGAGTTGAGCATGGAGACACGCCCGCGCCACTGTGGTGACGGATGCGACCATAACAAGGGCTTCGAATATCGGATTTCCTAGTGTGTTTCGGGAGTCTGTGTACATTAATACTTCTCAAAGAATTTTGCGACTTGACCTAGTAACCGTAGATTATGATGTAGCAATGAGAGAGAAAGTTCCTGGCTCAGATAAAGAAGCAAGGTGACCTAGAGATTGACTGCGTAACACTGGAAGCCGCCAGGCATGCCGCTGACAACTTGAAGGAGCTGCGAGAGGTTGGCCGTCACCCATAGATGATAGCACATCCGAAGCTAGGTCGGATAAAGGCTCATAAAGCCAACTTGCATGGGGTTGCTAAGGCGGCGAGGGGTGCCTGGGTCGAACGATTCGTGGTATTCATCCTCTGTACCGTAGGAAGTGCAGTTGTAGTCTCAGGGCCAGACTGTAGTATCACTGACGAACAAATAGTGATACAGTGCCGTTGTAGCAGATCTCTCTCTCGCAGAATCCTCCGGATTGAGAGGCAGTGATGTGGCATGGTGCTGGTTGCCGGAAGAGAGATGGTCGTCACGGTTTGCGCGCAAACTGCGCAGGGAACCGGGATTACTGGGGCTCTTGGATTATTCAAACATTTTCGCAATTCAGATCGTCGCCACTGCTAGTGGGTTCGGCGTCTGTTCAAACGTTCAAAGATTAGCCCAATCCGCGAAAAATTCTCGGGATGGTGGAGAGACGGTGCTTCCGGAATCCGTTGGGAATACTTAGCGAGCAATTCAAACGACTGGTGCTCAGCACACACTGAGTCCAACAACCCCAGTTATGTAGATGCACAATTCATTAACTTCAAAGAGACTATAGACATCCAAAGCGAAGCAAAATGTTTTCATATTGTTCGGACGACTGGAGATTTCTGGTCTGCTCGACGGGGAAAAACTACCATTGGCCAAGGTTATGAATGACACACTTAGGGAACTGAACCTGTGCGCGCGACCAGAGCTGCCCATAAGCTGCCGTAAGGAGACTGTGGTGTTGAATGTGACGACAATTTTTTATTCCGAGGCACTCTGGCATACGAGTCTGGTACACGCTTGTATGGCCCATGTTGCGGGAGTTCCAAAGGGTTCGACTGGCATGTAAACTACTTAGCTAGTGTATTCTCGTCAAACTTTCTCCCGAGTGTAGCAAGCAAATATATATGGGGATCTGCAAACGAACTCGGAGTCGAACCTGCGCATTTGGACTGTCGCCGCCCGGTAGTCACAGGCGGAGATCCTGTCTACGTGCTAGAGCCTACAAAAGAAGCAATTCCGCGCCGTTGAACCAGATTGAACCCCGGCAGTCGAGGCCACATCCGACTGTCAATGGAGAGCTCAAGCGGAAGTCCGATCAAGGTTCAGTGCTACTCAGGGCTCTGTCGAAGGCACTACAAACCCCGCGCGAAGTTGCTGACATGGTTAAAAGGGATACATGTCTGTGTCTATGACTCGCGGTTTCCCGAAAACAAGGGCAACAATATATCATTTACTATGCATCCCCCCATTGAACACCGGCTTCAGAGCTGCAGAGGCCCGGGCTCATTTGAGTATTCGAATATTCCCGCGTCGCTGTGCGACAAAATACTGGTCGTGGCGTTCATGAATCATGGTTGGAAATTCGGAATGTTGGCCCGGGCAGCTATTGGCAGGATGTTTATAGAAGTGGGTGTGCGGTGGTGCCTAAACGGGACTCGCAACGCCGCAGATCGAGTTCAAACAAGTATGGGGATCTTGGTCTCCGCATACATCAATCGTCGGTAGCTCGGGTTCCGCGGCCAAAGTCGATGACTGTTCGATTAAATATACTTTCCGAGTATCGAGCCAACCTCACTGATATAAAGCAGCAGCGGCCGAACGATCCTTCACCCAAGTTACCACGAAAACCTTCGAACCCAATACAAACCAACATGCATTTCAACCTCATCCTCAGTTCCATCATCGCTCTAGCGGTGACTATTGCTGCTGCTACACCCGTGGTCAGTACTGCACTGTTCATATTCAAATTATCGGTCAATGAACTGAACCACTTTGCAGGCTGAGCCCAAGGGCAGCCTAGACGCGCGAGTTGAGCTGGGGGCCCCGCCCGCGCCCGCGTGGTGAAGGATGCGACCTAACAAGGGCTTCGATTATCAGATTTCCCAGTGTGTTGCGGGAGTCTGTATATATTAATACTTCTTCTCAAACAATTTTGCGACTTGACCCGGTCACCTCGTGACATGATGATAACGAAGAAACTGCAGCCGCTCGAGTACGATGTATACACATACCCCAGAGGCACGTCCGTGCACCCGCCCAAAAGTGGCGCACAACCCTGTGTGGAGGTATTACACGTCAGCTCTTGAGGGATAGAAACGCCTGGATGTCCGTGGCCAAGTGAGGGAGCTCGTCGCGAGAGGATCCCGAGAGCGGGATCGGTGGGAGAACACGGGAATGTGATTCAACCTTTGAGATTTCTGGTCTGCTCGACGGGGAAAAAAACAGCAATCAACCCAGTTATGAATCACACACACTGGGAATTGGACCTGTGCGCGCGCGCCGCGGAGAGCTGGGCCTAAGCAGTGCCAGTGCCCAATCTTTTTTGGCAAATTAGCGCCGACTCGGCCGGATCTGGCCTGACAAGGCGGCCAGCCTTACGGGAGGCTGATATCCTTGAGGAATTCCGAATCAGCCTTTGATAGGCAGACGATGGTCAGACGCTGATCAGGCTCGTCAGACCTCTTCAGGTCTGAGGGCCTTGTCAGGCATGATAAGGGCTTATTGGGCCTGACTGGTAGAGCAAATTTGAAAGGGATAAAAGAAAAAAATCTTATTGCTGTTCGGAGTCTTCATTTCTCAACTGAGAGACTGATCTCACGGTTGTGTTCAATGCGTTACTTGCCA